TTTTACTACCCTGTCATTCTCGGAGGAATTTTCGTTTAATTCCAAACTTGCATAATGACTTTTCAGCTCAGTGAGTAGTATTCCCTGACCTCTTGCACCACCACCTTCCACCATATCCCTGCCCAACAGTTTTTCACACTGAGAGTTGGGTTGTTGAACCGACCCGTTCATGGCCTTACCATCGACAGGGAGACCTAGTAGCATGTACACATCATCTAGCGTAATGGTACATTCACCTATTGGTAGGTGAAATGTATGGGTCTCTGGTCTCCACCTTTCCAACATTGCAAGAATGAACCTCAAGTCAATGGTGCAGTTGGAGATCTTTATGATATGTCCAAAACCTGCGTATTCCATATATGGTACGATAAATGGGTCGGGAGCTAGGTAGTTGTGAGAACGGATTCTGAATCTTTTTGTGTCCTGAGTTCATAATGTAACATGTGTAAGATTAAGTAAGACGAACAACACATTATCTGAAGTATGAAAAATGTATAACCAAAATAGAAACTTACAAATGCGGTAATGTTTTCCCTTGTGCCTCTGTGAGCATCGCCCATTGTTAGAAGAGCCATTGTTTAAAATGCTTGAGATTATGAAAGACTTAGGAAGAGATAGAGAGTATGAAAGACTTAGGAAGAGATAGAGAGTATGAAAGACTATGAAAGATTTCGTAGCAGAGAGTGAGACTTGTGTGGGTGTGAGAGATGTATGATATGGTATGTATTTATAGGCAAATAAATTTCATATAGTGGTTGCTGGTGCTTGCATGCATGCAAAGTGTCACTCTTGCAGGCTAGGTGGCAGCCTAGGGGGTTACATATATGCATGCATGCATGTAAAAAAAATGAAAGGTGTCACTCTTGCAGGCTAGGTGGCAACCTAAGGATGTATCACGATTGGACAGTAAGGGAGGCGCCATTTGACTTGACGAAAGAGTACAAAAATGAATGGTGTCGCCACCCCAATTGGCGAATAAGAGGTGTCCTTTGTTGCAGGCTAGGCTCAGGCTAGGTGACAGCCTTTGGGATTCCTTTCCTGAATGCATGTAAGCCCATTGGAGGTGATGGGAGGGGACTTACAACATACAATATAGGTGCAGAGTAGGCGCAGGCTAGGTGGCAGCCTAGGGGGTTACATATTTGCATGCATGTATCACGATTGGACAGTAAGGGAGGCGCCATTTGACTTGGGGAAAGAGTACAAAAATGAATGGTGTCGCCACCCCAATTGGCGAATAAGAGGTGTCCTTTGTTGCAGGCTAGGCTCAGGCTAGGTGACATCCTTTGGGATTCCTTACATGTAACACTATTGGCAGCCTTGGGGGTTGCATCCTTACTTAATTGAAATTTTTAGTCTTGCATTTATCATAACATTCATTCACTTAATCTGTCAAATCTTCCAACCTTCAAACGTTCTTACAATCAAACCTTCAAACCTTCAAACAATCAAACACATAAACTTTCGAATCACTCATAAAGTTCAAACATTCCAACCTTCAAACCTTACAGCATTAAAACCTTCATACAATCAATAAACCTCAAACATTCCAACCTTCGAGTCACTCATAAAATTCAAACATTCCAACCTTTAAACCTTAAAACAATTCTACGCAATGGCCTCTGCACCACAATTTGTCGTCAAAGCACATTTCAACGGTGAGACATACATTTGTCCCACCGCTGGGTTTTTGTTTAGAGACACAGACAACATCTGATTTCTCTTAAACGGGAAAGCCAATTTCTCGTACTTCAAAAAAAGATTGAAGGCCAAACTTGAACGAGGCCCGGTGTCCCGGATATTTTATTAAAATCCAGTTTTCTTTGGAAACAACCAAGTAATTTTTTATAAGGTTGAAGTTCAAGATGACGAGGATCTCTAGAATATGTTTTCCAGCCATGTCTATTCTGGGTACGACTCTATTGAGTTGTACGTTATGCTGCGAGAGCCTCAGGTGACACAAGAGGTTGATCCTTTGGAGAATGAACAAGCTGAGGTAGATGTAGTTGATGATGAAGAAGAAGATAACGAGTTAGAGTTTGATGAAATGGTGAATGATGATTCTGACGATGATGGCATCCCTAGTATTCCTGCAAACAAAATCTACACACCACCTCCGCACATGAAAAACTTCAACATGGGCGGAGATGAACCTTCTACTGAATTATTTTTCAATCCGTATATGCAGTCGGATGAAAATTTAAAAGAGAAGGACAAGTTTCACAATAGAGAGGAATGCATCAGGGCCATTAAAAAATTCCACATTCTCAACTCGGTTGATTTTAAGGTGGATCGTGTCAACCCGGAAAGGTACAAGATCAAGTGTGTCCACCCTGACTATATGTTCAAGCTGACCGCGTCATACAGATTAAGGGGTGATTGTTGGGTCATAGGTTCCATGACTACCCACACTTGTGTATGTTCCACTCAATCACAGGACCACCGAAAACTCAACTATGATCTCATCTGTCAAGAAATCCTACCCCTGGTCAGCAACGACCCATCTTTGAAGGTGAAAACAATCATCTCCCACATCACCACAGTTTTTAACTACACTCCGTCTTACCGTAAGGCGTGGTTAGCAAAGACTAAGGCGATTGAAACGGTGTACGGAAACTGGGAGGAGTCATACCAAGAACTTCCTCGCTACCTGAATGCACTCAAGACATATTATCTAGGTATTGTTTACGTTCTGGAAACACTGCCAGCATACGCCCAAGATGGTAGTCTACTAAATGGCAACGGAATATTCAGTCGCGTGTTTTGGGCATTTCAACCATGCATTACAGGATTTGCATCATGCAAACCAATTATACAAATTGATGGGACTTGGTTGTATGGGAAGTACAAAGGCACACTACTGATGGCAGTTGCACAAGATGGCAACAACAACATTTTCCCCATTGCCTTTGCCCTTGTCGAGGGGGAGACCGGTGGTGCTTGGAGCTTTTTCCTGAAAAATTTGCGGACACACATGGCTCCTCAACCAGATCTCTGTTTGATCTCAGACACACATGCCTCCATTGAAAGTGCCTACAATAATCTAGCAAATGGTTGGCATGACCCTCCTTCTACGCATGTCTATTGCGTTAGGCATATCGTCCATAATTTCTCGAGGGAGATCAAGGACAAAACATTAAGAAAAGCGGTTATGAATGTGGGATATGCATTGACACAACCCACATTCAAATATTACCGCAACGAGATCCGTTTGTCAAATTCGGAAGCCGGTAGGTGGATCGATAATATTTCGGTGGAAAAATGGACTAGGTCATACGATAATGGCCAAAGATGGGGGCATATGACAACGAATCTTATTGAATCAATGAATGGGGTATTCAAAGGCATACGAAACCTCCCAATCACTGCCTTGGTAAAATCTACGTATTTTAGGATCGCTGCGTTATTTGCCAAAAGAGGTGAAATGTGGAATGCGGTGTTGCAATCTGGACAACTATGGAGTGAAAGCTGCATGAAATACATTAAGGCTGAAAGTGCTAAAGCCAACACTCATATGGTTATACGGTTTGACCGACACAGCCACAACTTCATTGTGAAAGAGACAATCGACCACAATGAAGGCCTGCCAAGACAAGAATATAGGGTCATGCTACCTTCTCAATGGTGCGATTGTGGCAGGTTTCAAGCATTTCGTATGCCTTGCTCTCATGTCATTGCCGCTTGTGCTCATACCCATCAAGACGCGCTGCAACTTCTATCAAACATTTACAAATCTGAAACGTTGCTCAACGTTTACAACAACAACTTTCCTTTGGTAGCAAAACCAGATTATTGGCCTGCATACGACGGCAAAATAGTGTGGCACAATGACCAAATGCGATGGAACAAGAAGGGTCGTCCCAAAAGTAAGCGCATCACAACAGAAATGGACGATCTTGACAGGTTGGAAAGAAAGTATGGTTTATGCCGTCAGGTCGGACACAATCGCAAAAACTGTCTGAATCGGGCGTCTGGCTCGACCACATAAATATTGTAATACATAAAATCTTTTCTTAATTGTATTGTAAACATTTGGGTTTTCCGTTAACATATTTTGCTACAATTAATAAAACGCGTACAAGAATAATTAACGATATTCCATCTACGAAATTACAACTGTTAACACAATTTCATCTGACCCATGCATCATCAACATTACATCGCTGTCTGTTTTGACTTCCTCCAACCACACATTAGGTCTTCCTGTCGCATGTGAGGTTGTTGTTCGTTTTCGCTGGATCCTTCGAATTTTTCCCCCTCCGCAATGTCTCCATCTAGCCATCGCATCAACTCATGCTTCAGATGCTCCATGGAGTGAATGTGCCAGAATTTCATTTTCATCGCAGGTTTCGTGGCGGAGAAGATAACATAACCATCTCTGCTAAAAATCATAGGAGGCGTCATGACGTAAATAACAGAGTACAAAATAAAAATACAGTGCGAGAAAGTATGAGAAATTTCAGAGAAACGGACGAATTATTTATAAAACAACATTTTGCCCTAGTTTTGCCCTAGGAGCCAAGTGAGATGGCGCCTCCTCTCACTTTTAAGGAGCATGCGCCATCTCACTTGGCTAAAAGCCAAGGGAGGCGCCAAGTGAGATGGCGCCTAGGGCAAATTGGTAGGTGCATGCGCTATTTCAGATGGCTCCTCCTTTGGGGAGTCATCTGAAACATGGCTATTTGCGTAATTTTTTCCGAAACCCAGTTATTTGCGAAATATTATTTTAATACTTGGTTATTAATAAAATAAATTCCAAATTTTTATATCTGAAGTATATTTTAAATCTACATCTTAGGCAACCGAATTTCCTCAATATCCGTAAGTATCCTACAATTTTAAATATTAAATCTAAACAGAATATATAATATAATCTTCTTAAATACTACGTAGCATGTACGAGGAAATAGCCTATAAATAAGAGAAAAAAGTTTCATAGTTTCACACCTTTTCAACATATAAGAAACTGGTTAGGGTTAGGGTTTTCTCATTCAATTACAATGTCTTCTTCAACCAAGATGATCACTCTCAAGAGCCACGACAGTGAAACCTTTGAAGTAGAAGAGGCAGTGGCTCTTGAATCTCAGACGATCAAGTACATGATCGAAGACGGTTGTGCCGAGGATGTAATCCCTCTTCCAAACTTGACAGGAAGCATTTTTGCAAAGGTTATTGAATACTGTAAGAAGCATGTGAATGGAGAAGCGAGTTTCGATGATGTTAATTAGTGGGATACCGAGTTCGTGAAGGTTGAACAGGCTACGCTTTTCAAACTCATATTAGCTGTAAACTATTTGAATATAAAGAGCTTGTTGGATCTTACCTGCATGGAAGTGGCGGAGACGATGAAGGGGAAGACACCAGAGGAAATTCGAACAATGTTTAACATTAAGAATGACTTTACTCCAGAAGAAGAGGCGGAACTTCGTAGAGAGAATGAATGGGCTTTTGAATGATATAATGTCCATCTATGCTTTCTTCATTAGTTAGCCTCTTTTAGGATTTTTTTTCTTCTTTAATTTAAGATTCTTTTTCTGAATTTTTTTTTGAATAACCATGTATTAAAAAAAATTTCGTAAAAAACCACCTTTCGGAAAAAATTACGCCAATAACCATGTTTCAAATGACTCCCCAAAGGAGGAGCCATCTCACTTGGCGCCTATTCCCATTATTTAAGGGGAGGCCCCATCTCACTTGGCACCTACTCCCATTATTTAAGGGGAGGCGCCATCTCACTGGGCGCCTAGGTGCTTAGGGCATGCCCTAAGTCAAGTGAGATGGCGCCTTAGTGCAATTCTAGGGAAAATTTCATTTTTTTTCCTTCAGTCCGGTGCGTTGCGTGTTCGATACATGATAAACAAACTTGACTTTTTATTTAAAAAAACTGATTACACCCAAATGTATTACATTAAAAAAATAGATAAAAAAAACAGATAAATCAGTGATCCCCCGGAACCCGGTAATGACCCCCGGTTCCGCATCCCCGTCCTTGCCTTTCCCGTGCTGGGTGTCGTCGCGTTTCCTGCTGTGGCAGGGTCGATGGCCCAACGAAGTCAATGCGTTCCAGATCCATGAAATCAGTCGGATCTCCATATCTAGAAGATCCGCTTTGGTACAGTCGGTTACCCATACCCTCAAAGTTTGGTCGTGTTGGCGGTGGGTGGGGTTCCATAGTAGGTCTGTAGCATTGATCATCTGAGTACGGGGGGGGGGGGGGGGGGGGGGGGGTAGAAAGGAAATGGATCTTGGGGTGTTTGGTATTGAGGATGTTGGGTGGTTTGGTGATACTGTGGTTGATGGTAAGTTGGGTCGGTTGGTTCGTAATCTTCCGACATTCCCAGATTAGGGGTAAGGCTGAATGTTGAGGGACCCATATTGGGATATACAGAAGACTAAAATTGTGTGTGGGGTATGCGGGTGTGTTGGTATTGTGATTGGTATTGCGGTTGGGTGTGAGGCATATGGGGGTATTGGTACTGAAGTGGCGATTGTGGTTGGTTGTGGGGCATTTGGGTGTAATTGTGTTGTGGTGAGGACTGTGGTTGGGTGTTTGTGGTTCTATTTCGTCTGAGGGGTTGGTGGGAGGTTGATGTGTGTTGGGTTTATTGTTGGGGAAACCAGGGTTGTGCCCATTGTGTTCTGGGTCAACCAAATACCTTGGATGAGACACATGCATTTCAGGGTTACTAACCGACCTGTACCAAGATAAATATTGATCCGTGTGTCACATATTACCATGATTGAGGAAAACCGGGAATTGCAAGACATGTCGGTGATGCCTCTGCCACATCTTACACCATTCTGGAGCAAAGTCTTTCCTGTTGGTAAGACCCCACTGGGCGTCGACCCTTTTGAGATGCCACAGGGACAAACAAGTCGGATCACTTGGTATCTCTTGATGCATTCCGAACTGCATCTTCACACGGTCGATGTGGTGCATCTCCACAACATTGAACCATATGATTGTAGTCTTGGCGCTCCAAATTTCTACATCCTCTGGGTTTGGTTGATGGACCAAACCCAAATATGGTCTCCAGACAAACTGTGAAAAAAATTAAATCAGGTTAATGAAAACGTAATATATAAATAATTTAAATGAAGAAAAGTTGAAAGGTACGACGTACATCATCCGGGCCTAGGTGATCATACAGATTGCGGTATAGTGCGACATTGAATCTTGGAATCTTGCCGTAATCCATACCCCTCGCGCAATACCTAAAGGAAATGAAAAACATTTTATTTTTAGCATATATTTGGTGAAGAGATGAATAGTAATAAATGATATAACTTGATGACTTACTTTGTTGCGTACGGGAAAACGAAGGTGTTGTTGTTGACGGGGTTTAAGGACTCCATCCTCCACCAACCCCGGGCTTGTAGTAAAAAAGCGCATCCATAAAATGTACATTTTTCCTTGACTGCATTTTTGCACAAGGAACTGTATAGGTGGGCTAAAACTGCAGAACCCCAACTATACTTTCTTGTTTTTTCAAAATCTCTAAGTAAATGTAAATACATAAAATTTACACCATTTTCCGTACTTTCGGGAAATAAAAAGGTTCCAAATAGTATCATTAGATAATTTATGGCTTTTACTACCCTGTCTTGCTCGGAGGAATTTTTGTTTAATTCCAAACTTCCATAATGACTTTTAAGCTCAGTGAGTAGTATACCCTAACCTCTCGCACCACCACCTTCAACCATATCCCTTCCCAACAATTCTTCACACTGAGAATTGGGTTGTTGAACCGACCCGTTAACGGCCTTACCATCGACAGGGAGACCCAGTAACATGTACACATCCTCTAGCGTGACGGTACATTCACCTATTGGTGGGTGAAATGTATGGGTCTCTGGTCTCCACCTTTCCAACATTGCAAGAATGAACTTCGAATCAATTGTGCAGTTGGAGATCTTTATAACATGTCTGAAACCTGCGTATTCCAGATATGGTACGATAAATGAGTCGAGAGCCAGGTAGTTGTGAGACCGAATCCTGAATCTTTTGGTATCCTGTGTTCATAATGTAAAAAGTGTAAGATTAAGTAAGATGAACAAAGCCTTACCTGAAGTATAAAAAATGTAAAACCAAAATAGAAACTTACAAATGCGGCAATGTTGTCCCTTGTGCCTATGTGAGAAGAGCCATTGTTGAAAATGTCTGAGATTATGAAAGACTTAGAAAGTGTAACAGATTATGAAAGACTTTGTAGCAGAGAGTGAGACGATTGTGGGTGTGAGAGAAGTATGTTATGCTCTGTATTTATAGGCAAAAAAATTTCATAGAGTAAGTGAGGTGGTAGCTGGTGCATGCATGCATGATAAGTGTCACTCTTGCAGAGTAGGCGCAGCTAGGTGGCAGCCTTGGGGTTACATCTCTGCATGCATGTAACACGATTGGACATTAAGGGAGGCGCCATTGGACTTGGCGAAAGAGTACAAAAATGAAAGGAGTCGCCATCCCCATTGGCGAATAAGAGGTGTGATGGGTTGTAGAGTAGGCGCAGGCTAGGTGACAGCCTTGGGGATGCCATGCCTGAATGCATGTAACACTATTAGAGGTGATGGGAGGAGACTTACAAGTTACAGTGTAGGTGCAGAGTAGGCGCAGGCTAGGTGGCAGCCTTGGGGGTTACATCTCTGCATGCATGTAACACGATTGGACATTAAGGGAGGCACCATTAGACTTGGAGAAAGAGTACAAAAATGAAAGGTGTCGCCATCCCCATTGGCGAATAAGAGGTGTGATGGGTTGCAGAGTAGGCGCAGGCTAGGTGACAGCCTTGGGGATGCCATGCCTGAATGCATGTAACACTATTGGAGGTGATGGGAGGAGACTTACAAGTTACAGTGTAGGTGCAGAGTAGGCGCAGGCTAGGTGGCAGCCTTGGGGGTTACATCTCTGCAAGAATGTAACACGATTGGACATTAAGGGAGGCACCATTGGACTTGGCGAAAGAGTACAAAAATGAAAGGTGTCGCCATCCCCATTGGCGAATAAGAGGTGTCATGGGTTACAGAGTAGGCGCAGGCTAGGTGACAGCCTTGGGGATGCCATGCCTGAATGCATGTAACACTATTGGAGGTGATGGGAGGATACTTACAAGTTACAGTGTAGGTGCAGAGTAGCCGCAGGCTAGGTGGCAGCCTTGGGGGTTACATCTCTGCATGCATGTAACACGATTGGACATTAAGGGAGGCGCCATTGGACTTGGTGAAATAGTACAAAAATGCAAGGTGTCGCCATCCCCATTGGCGAATAAGAGGTGTCATGGGTTGCAGAGTAGGCGCAGGCTAGGTGACAGCCTTGGGGATTCCATGCGTGAATGCATGTAACACTATTGGAGATGATGGGAGGAGACTTACAACTTACAGTGTAGGTGCAGAGTAGGCGCAGGCTAGGTGGCAGCCTTGGGGGTTACATCCTTACTTAATTAAAATTCAGTATGACCTATTTAGTCTTATATTTATCAAAACACTGATTCACTTAATCTGTCAAGCCTTCCAACCTTCAAACCTTCATACAATCAAACCTTCAAATCTTCAAACAATCAAACATACAAACCTTCGAATAACTCATAAACTTCAAACATTACAACCTTCAAACCTTCAAACCTACATACAATTAAACCTTCAAACCTTCAAACAATCAAACATACAAACCTTCTTATAACTCATACACTTCAAACATTCCAACCTTCAAACCTTCAAACCTTCAAACAACCCTACGCAATGGCCTCTGCACCCCAATATGTCATCAACGCACATTTCAACGGTGAGACATACATTTCTCCCACCTCTGGGTCTTTGTTTAGAGACACAGACAACATCTGATTTCTTTTAAATGGGAAAGCCAATTTCTCGTACTTCAAAAAACGATTGGAGGCCAAACTTGGACGAGGCCCGGTGACACAGATATTTTATCAGAATCCAGTTTTTTCGAAAACAACCAAATAATATTTTATAAGGTTGAGGTTCAAGATGACGAGGATTTTCAGAATATGTTTTCCAGCCATGCGTATTCTGGGTACGACTCTATTGAGTTGTACATTATGCTGCGAGAGCCTCAGGTGACACAAGTGGTTGATCCTTTGGAGAACGAACAAGCAGAGGTAGATGCAGTTGACGAAGAAGAAGAAGATGACGAGTTAGAGTTTGATGAAATGGTGAATGATGATTCCGACAATGATGGCATACCTAGTATTCCTGCAAACGAGATCTACACACCACCTCCGCACATGACAAACTTCAACATGGGCGGAGATGAACCGTCTACTGATTTATTTTTCAATCCGTATATGCAGTCGGATGAAAACTTAAAAGAGAAGGACAAGTTTCGTAACAAAGAGGAATGCATCAGAGCCATAAAAAAATTCCACATGCTCAACTCGGTCGATTTTAAGGTGGACCGTGTCAACCCAGAAAGGTACAAGATCAAGTGTGTCCATCCTGACTG